TATATATATATATATATATATATATATATAATATATATATAGGTATATATATATATATTGTTCTGCTAACTTTATCTTCCTTTAGCAGAACATCATTTTTTTTTAAATCTAATAGAGCAACAAATTATTTTCTTTGGCAACTTTTTAGCAACAAATAAGTAACAAATAATTTTACTAGTTAAATTTGATTCTGTTCATTTTGTTCTACTAACTTATAAGACGTTGTCGAGCTTGGCTTTCTCCAACTGAAAATTCATTAGCGTGTTATTCACAGAACGATAATCGACTAAAATATCCTCTCATGGGTCGTGCCAGCCTGTTTCTCGCGAAAGCGTGGACGTTCAAGCGTGCGCGAATCGATTGGAAGGGGCAAAAATTGGGCCGCTCTGGCAGCCCAGATTGGAGCTCATTACAAGTTAACGAGGGAATTACTGGTCGACTGGACGTTAATAGGGTAATTATAGTCTGAAATCAGTAATAATTTCGACTTACAGGAAGCAGATTCTTTGATTCACTTCGATTTATAAAGTTTGTTGAATATTTTCTTTGAATAACTAACGAACTTCATAAATCGAAGAAGCATAGTATATAGGAGTGCGTATTTCGAAAAAAAAAACAGAAGGAAAATATGAGAAAACATCCGCAGCTTGGACGTTTCTTCTTTCAACGGACATCGCATTAATCATCCTGACAATGTCTCTTTTTTCTTGTTTTCCTCCATTCCATTCGTCTTCTTCTGTATTTTCGCGTAAGTCGCACGATTGTTATCACGATGAATCGATCTCTTTATAGAGACATCAAACTCCGAGTTCCCCTCTTAAAAGCGGAACGATTCGTGAACTAAGTTCTAACTCATTTTCCTACTTTGTTACGGACTGCTGTTTACCCCTTCAGTGCGTTGTCTTCGTTATCGGCCTCTGTCCTGATAGACGACAATCTACTTCCTGCAATGAGGAGTCACGGTTCTTTGACGCCACATCCGTACGTTGGAAAATGTATACGGAAAGAACGGTTTTGCTGAAACTCTAAAACTTCTAAAAATTTAGCTAGCTACAGATTATCTGAAAATAATTTTGTTAGATCATCATAATTATGTAGAACACTCTGTGTTGCTAGATTAGACAAAATTTTTTGTAGTGCCCATCACGTTTGAGTAACCTAATATAATTATTTTGATACTTCAACAAAATGATTTTTAAATGTGTCTAGCTAAATTTTTTGATACTTTAAACAGAATTTATCTAAATTTTTTAATAACTAAAACCGTTCTTTTCGTGTACAATTATTACCACTTTGAAATACCTGAATTATCATTTTGATAGAGCATGATTATAGATTTTAAATAATTTTCTTCGATTCTGCTCTATATTTGTACTACTTTTAATTACATGCAGTTTTTGCTTGTTTTTATTCGAAATATAATCTAAATTTTTTTGTCTTTGTTAATTCTATTTGACTTTGCCTATTACATTGTGTATTGTATAACTTTATCTACACTTTCGTTCTGCATTTATAATAATTTTATAACGTACTATTTCTTGTTACATACATTCTGTATTCAGCTAGACTATCTAGAGAACTAGGCAATAAACGTCAGTTCACCGTCTTTTGTTATTTCATGTTTGAATCCACACACGGAAAGAAACAATTTTGCTGAAGTATCTGAAAATGTAACCCCGTTGTTCTATTTTATTTGATTCAAATGTAGTTTGTTTTCTCATATTAATATTTTATTTTAAAATTTTTTTCTCTAAAAACTTTTTACTTTTTATTTTTTAGAGATTTTTATTTCAATCAATATTTTTTAGAGATTTTTATTTCAATCAATATTGACCCAAACGATAGTAATCGTGTAATAAATTCGAACAGCAAAGTTTAGCAGGCACAGATCTGAAAACTATTTTATTGCTCATCAAAATCACAACGAGCAATGTTATAAGAAAATTTTGACATTCTAGTAAAGCTTGAGCATCCTACATAATTATTTTCTGTGTCTAGCTAAATTGTTAGATCCTTCAACGAAACTGTTTTTCATGCAGGCGGCGATAACGACTTGTATTGTCTTAAAGAAAGTCGCAAAAGCATTAAAAACAATGCTGCACACTAGAAACATTTCTACTTTTTTTAACAAACGTGAGAAAAATTCATGTAAATGTCATGTCAGAGAGAGACCGTATATGAACGCAGTGTTGTAATCTACCATCTAACCATCGTCATCGCGCCATCGCGGGTGAAATCTTAGGCAATAGTCGCCATCGTTATGGAACCCGTGAGATTTCCCGCGAACGGAATCGGCAAATGCGTCGTTTATGGTTATGCAATGCCTTCGCGCGACTGGCGAGGCCAACCTCGCAAGGACGTACGTGCGTCCGTTCACCGTTCGCCGTTCGAATACCCGTCGCCGGCAGACCGAACCCGCCGAACGGGATTAAAATCCGCTAGGGCACCCCTCGTCGTGCTTTCCGAAAAGAAAAGTTGCCGACACGCATACTCATTGGCATTTGGCATGCAGCCGCTACCTGACTATCACAGAGCGAATTCCATGCGGCCGGGACCCATTTTCTAAGCGCAACATCGAGAGTCACATCTCCACGTGTGCAGGCGATGATTGTAGCGTCGTCTCTCGTTGAATGCCGTTTGGCCTGTTAGAGTCCTCGTGACTTTCGTCCAATCGCTGTGACGACACATCGCTTCCACTGCCACATAAATATCCATAACTTGGATATTATCTATATCCATATATATGTATATCGATACACAATATGCTTCTTGAAATTTCTTTATCGCTTTATCACCAATAAATATTTTTTATCACTGTGCATATTCTTCACAATCCGTCAGAAATCATTCAGAAATTCTTGATCACTGCACTCGTTACTGATCATCCATCATTTGGAAATTCTTTCACTATTGATCTTCGATATTTCTCCAGTATCACCGTGAGAGGTACGTTTGGAGAACAAGTGGCTGCTCAATTTTTTTTCCACACAATTACACACATAAATATCCGACACGTGACGAGATGTCATGCACAGGGGATAGAGATCGATTTTTTAAAGATTTATCGACTGCTTCACGGAAACTCGCTCCGAAATGCATCATGTGCGCGCGCACTTTTTTCCAACCGTTGCTGCTTGTGCACGCCGTTGTGCTGCGCTCCGGATCAGAATCTGCCGGCGCGAAGCTGTCTCGAAGGAGCCGCTTTTCACGGCGTGACGAGATTGTCCCACGGCCCGACGACGTGCGGCACTTTCACAACGATTTTCTCTCACCACAATTGTCTTTTTTCGCGACCTTGGCTCGCAAAAATCGTTACGACGCGCCACGATCTCGCGCTGCTGCTCGCGTCGCTCGCATGAGCTGTGACTCTGTGAACTGTAAACGCCAGCGATGCGGCATTACTGGCGGGGTACACATGCCAGCGCGACCCCCCGATCCGTTCCGTGGCGAGCACAAACAGCTGCCGCGTCTGGGGCCCCCCTCTCCGGCGACCGGTGGCCACGTTGCGTAGCTCCGGAGCCGAAGAGAGAGATTGCCCAGTCTTTCGGCACCGACAATTGCTTCGCACGAGCCAACAGTTGTCCGCCTTGTCCGCAGATTAAGCCAAACGGATAATTTATTGTAGAAAAACAGATAAACTGGCTTCTTCTTAATAAGTCGGTCGGGAAAATTGAAAATTTAATATTTTTCTTAATTCTGATGGTTGCTCATTTTAATTCAATTATTAAGCCGTGTTTTAATTCAGTTATTAAGCTATAAGGAGTCAACCACTATGGAAATCAGTGTACATTTTTTTAGGAAATACATATTACCAATATTGCGGCAATACAATACTAGCAATACGCTATCAATACATAGCAATACCTCGAACAATACCTAGCAATACATTAGAATACTTGGCAATATTGTGCAATAGCTAGGTGGCAGTAAGTACATGAGGTAATAGATAGCAATATTACTGACAATACGAAAGCAATACAATAGCAATACTAGCAATAAAGTGTGTTGTATTGCCAATCACTGGCAATCACTGTACATTTTTTTGTAGTGGTTGACTCCTCGTTAAACTATTATTTAAAACAATTATAAAACAGCTATCAAAGCTGAGAACCTGTTAACGTTAGTTAACTATCGTTAATAACTTTAATAATTTTCCCTCGTTTAATAACGTTGAACTGTATAATTATTAATTAGTCGCACTTTAAAGTGCAAATTAGTAATTTTCGAGTTTCTTTCGTTTAACTTTACCTTATTTATTATGAAAGAAAATAAAAATAGATTACGCGGCACGTGAGAATAACGCGGATTTTGGCAAAGCACATGCGGTAATTTTCCCGTTCTAATTTTATTCGTATTACCTCAATGCTTGTCCAAGTTGACGTCAACGTTTAATTAGAGCGATGAAATTATGTCTAATACGCACTGAGTGTTCTGCCTCGTTAAATTTCTTTGGCACGGTTTATTAGTACGATATTGTATAACGAGCATTTTGAAAAGCTTTTAAAAACATATGTAATATTGCTTTACACAGTTGGAAAATAATATATTTTATGTCCCAAACGATACATCCAAATTATAGTGTCTGAGTAGGTACGTTAAAAATTAAAAGTAAAGATTAATATAGTATGTTAACAAATACGTACATTCATTTTTTATTCACCCTCTAAAAATATTGGTGTGAAATATTTCATCATATTCATTTGTGGTTAAATTAATTCGATGTGAATTTTAATACCAAAATATTGAAAATTTGTACATTAATAAAAGCGGTGTCAAATTAAAATGCAATATTTGCTTTCACAATATGTAGTGTAATAGCGCATCACGTGACTATAAACAACCCTGATCACCACAGCGTTTGAAGTTACATTAATTCGAATCTTTTATCCATTTTTGCGCCAACATCATTATCAAGTGGAAATTTCTATGGAAAAAAAGAATACAGGAAAGTGTGTGAGTCCTCGGTTTTTTTCGTTAAATTATTTATAACGGTAATATTTCTAATAACCACTGTGTTCGATAGTCAACTTAACGAAAAAAGTTAATCGTGCAGCTCGACAATAATTATTAAGATTTACATCGTTTTCTGTGTGGAAAGTCACATAGCAACAATGTAGAGATGTGCGAATAGTTCGAATTCGAATCTGCAAGATTCGAAATCGAATAGTTCGAGAATTTCGAATCAACAATAGCTCGATTTCGAATCGATCGCCTAATGTAACGTTAATCTGGGAAAATTTGATTCAGATTCGATTCGTATTCGAATTAAAGAGATTCGATTCGATTTGATTTGAAGTGAAAATTTCAGATTCGATTCGATTCGATTTTGAACATGTTATAAAAATTCGATTCGATTCGATTCGCACGCAAAGGCTTGATTCGCACACCTTTACAACAATGTGAATTTTTCATACTAATTAGATAGCGTTGTTTTCACACCAACATGATGAAATTATATAGACACCATGCGGGTATTAAAATTCATTGATGTCAAAATTTTTTAGAGTGCATTTATCTTAAAGAATTTGAAACTACATTATTTTTATGTTACTTACTCTCTCATAAATTATTTTAATTAAGAAATGTAAAATATTAATTTAAAAATAAAATATTCAAATAACATAATCACATTTTATGTTAAATTTACACTTGGTTTGTAAAAAATTTAACAAGTATGTTACAATTTTTCTATTTAAACCTTTAAAAGCATTTAAATAGACTGTTTTTAACACAAGTACAAATATTTTTTATTGTGTATATATGTAAATAATAAATAAATTTGGATATATCACTTTCGCATCAAGATTTACATAACAACTGTGTTTACGTTCGATGTATCGAATGGTCGAATGAAATGTATCTTTGACATATATCTGCACTGATAATTACATTAATTATCAATAATCATAGCAATTATCATTAAATAATGTGTTTGCCTGCGTTTATCATTGAACAACGATCCGCCGCTATTTGCCGCGTGCTAACACATTCATGCACAGCGAAAATTTCGGGATTGTTACGGCAAATCGAGCACGCTGAATACTCATCACGGTTCGAACACGGGATCATACATACACACACACCCACACACACGCACGCACGCACACACATGCATACACATACGCGTGCGCGCATCCCTTTTCCACGTTTGAACCTGTCTGCGTAATTAAACAGCCGATTAGACAACGTCTCCGCGCCCGTGCCCGCTTCAATCGAAAATATCTCGTGCGCGATCTGAGGTTAAACGATAAAATTATATCAACGCATGGACGTCGCGCTGGATGGCAGAAATTCCTCGGCAATTTTTGACAAAATGTCAAAGATACGTCGCCCTTTTGTTACGCATAAAAATGTCATTAGCGCGCGCGAGGCTCCATTAAATTTCGTTCCGCGAAACCTCTTTTTACTTTTTCCTCCCTTTTTTCTACCATTAGGTCCAATAACGTGTACGGCATTTTTATTAGCCATATACGAATAAGAGACTTGACTATTTGCATTTCCATGCGAGACCAGACCGGTCGAAAGCATTCCACGCCCCGCTGGTCTCTCAGTCAGGATATAGCTGTAGCGCGCGAAAAGGCGATTTGACGGAAATCGCTGCGATTACTTCAGCGAAAAGGTTGCGCTGTTCATCGCGTAGTGTGAAGTCACCGGAAATCTGATCTACTGGAGCAGATCTCGTTATATAGCTATTCGAGAGGTAGTTTAAGCTAAGAACGTGCCGGACGTTTTCCTTTGAATTTTTGCTTTCTCTCTTCAATCTAGCAAAAAAACTACCCACTTGAGTTTGGAATTAAAATATTAAAATAGCTGCAGGGGAACATTTTTTCTACATAGAGGAGATCCAGATTATTACACTTTTTTAAATTATTTCTCGTAGCCAATCTATAAATCGAATAGAGATTCAACAAAAGCTGTATATCTATATTACGCTACTGACCATTAAAATTGCAACAGTGGAAGAAACGCGTCATATTGAACTTTGTAGGATGGAAGAATATAAAAATGAACTATATCCGAGGAATTAACCATTATGGAAATCAGTGTACATTTTTTTAGGAATATATTGCTAGTATTGCGGTAATACTAGCAATACCTCAAGCAATACCTAGCAATACATTAGCAATACTTGGCAATACTGTGCAATAAGTGGCAGTACATAAGATAATAGATGGCAGTACATGAGATAATAGATGGCAATATTACTGACAATACAAAAAAGCAATACAATAGCAATACTAGCAATAAAGTGTGTTGTATTGCCATAATTGACAATCACTGTACATTTTTTTAGTAGTGGCTGACCCCTGACTATATCTTAATATCTTAACTTTAACAATTAAAAATATACTGAGAGAAACAAAATGATCGCAATTATCATTCTTCAACGTAATTTATGTCATTTTCGGTGCCAACTATATATTTTTTAGTAGAACTATTATATAAATATAATTATTAATATTAAAACAGTAATAATTATAAAACTGGAAATTTCAAGCATAATTATTTACCATACAATTGTAGTCACAAATACTAAAAAAATTTTCATCTCAGTGTACCAAATGTATTTCTAAATCTTATATACATATACATACATATGTATCATATGTATCACATAAATAATTTTTTTTAAACATATAAATATTATTAATATTATTTTGATATCTCGTGTCTTTCTTACAATTAGTGTCGCAATTTTAAATTTTAATTTTACCAGCAGTATATACAAATATATTTTTTAAATGTAAAGTTGTAATTTATTTATTTCACTTGATAAAAGTATCAGAAAGCGACTTGTAATAATCTATCCCATATATGGCTTGTTACAATTACTGTGACAGTTCTAAGTTGTCTTAAATAATATATAAATCTTTCAAAAATATGTACTTACATATACATATATATGAATATGATAGACGTAAATCAATATTTTAATCTTTCATTATTTGACCAAAATAAATGCAATAAAAAAATATTAATTTACTGCAAAAAAGATTGAAGGGATAAATTCTTATTTTTTCATACATCTAAAAATATGAAATATAATAAATATAAATGTAAACAACAGCTATAATAGCTGTAACAATTTATCCCATCACAACTAACCATCCTTTGCCATATTTTTAACATTACTTGGAAAAAAAATCTTTTAAAAAATCAATATAACGGTACTCTGATAGAAATTTGTACAGTTTGATTGAATACAGTTAATTATTATTTAGTACTATTTTTTCCTTTTATAAAACAAAAATGCGTAGTCATTTAGCAAAATTAATTAAAACAGTTTTACTATGCAATATGTCAATTATTTACAAGAAATGTTATATTAATATTTTAAAAATTGTCCATTTTTTTAATCATTTAAGTTATGCAATGCTCATATATAAATATTGTAAT